CCTTTGGGGCAACAGCGCCGCCCTTCATTGACTACCTGCAAGATATACTACGTCGGTATCCAGATGGTGGACAGATTTTGAAGGTCGGTACATGTTCATTTGTGAAATGCTGCTTTTAATAATATTTTCTAATTGATGCACAACCCTCTAATAGCATTATTTCGTTTAGCTCTTGCTTATACATACCAGGATTTTGAAGTTTCATTTGGTTGCTTAACATATTGATTCAGCTTTAATTTACTTTGAATCTTAAAAACAAGTGAATGCATTTGATTTACAGATATTTTGGATTAACTATGAAAAATAAAGTCCAGCTGTTGCCTGTTATATCTTTTTGTTCTGCCAGTAAAGCAATGAAGGTGATGCAGTTAATGAATCCATCATATTAGCTTTGATGTGATGAAAGCCTGGATGGGTACCCACCTGGGGACCAGACAAGTAAATTAGCTTTTAGTAGTGTCTGCCACAATAAATGTTTTGTCCGTTATCCCCATTACACAATAAAAGCAAACTCCGTACCTAACCCTGAACTCTAAGTCAGTCAACTCTAAGTACTGTACGTTCACTCACAGATAAAGCTACAGTATGTAACATTTTTGTTGTAGAAATGTTCTCCAAACTTTGTCTTAATGTGGAGAGGTGCTGTCGAAGCCTCCTGTGAACCAGACTCATCGAACTGACCTCTCTAACCAATCAGAGATGTTCAATTATTTCTGTTTGATTCGTACGTTTTGTTGCATTCTCATTTCTTGTAATTATATAATGACATATTTAAAGGTTGTGTTGTACACAGATGTTAACTGGGTGTAAAATTTTAAGTACCTATTTCACATTGAAAAATATTGATCAACAGCATTTAATAAGTGTACTGCAACTCGTAGCAAATTTAAATGCAGTAACTGAAATGCTGTTAAAATAAGTCGCCTATATTCAAAAACCCCTCTATTCACATCATTACCAATATAATATTCCATCAGTGTGAGCAGTCACAAGATAAGCACATTCATATGTAAGTGTTTTATGTGTCTAAAGTGTCACAAAGATTTTTTTTTATGTACATTGATAACCACACTAATGTTTCAGAGCACGGGAAAAGATTCACAAGTTGACAGTTGTCTTAATGTCCACAGTGTCATAAAGATGAACAATTTGTAGATTTAAATCTGTGCTAAGGATGAATCCACAATGCTCAATAATTGAATGTGAAGACAGAAAGTGCTGTCTCTGTCCTTATACTGATGATTGATTGATCATAAAAGCAGTAATGTTAGTAAAGTTAGGATTTGGGCAACGTACCTAGGGGATTTAGATCGTCTTCTCCCCACATTCTGAAATTCTAAAAATACATGAATTTTTATATCAGCTGTATGAATGATGAAAGAAAATCGCATCAGACAGCTTCATCAGGTTTGGTGAGAACAAACTGAGAGAAACTCTGTGCTTGTTGAAGAAACCTGCCAGTGAGCAGGTTAGGTTCACACGTCACTTCTGATCCAGTATTTCCCTCAGGGACAACAAGAAAGAAAGTCCATTTGCTTTGACTTATCTAGTTAGCTGAATGCCTGAGGACCTTAGTTGAAATTAATAAATGATTAAGCAGATATGATTAAAGGCTCTGTGTGTTCACACCGGCATTTTCATTTACTCTGGCTGATTAAACTAATTGTTTAGAATAAGTTGGGTGGAAATATGCTGGAAATTAAATAATGTCACCAACCTGTTCTACTGGATAAGGCTGTTTGGAGGCCAGGTTTGGAGCTTACCACAGTGGCAGTAGTGCATAGGGATGTGGAAACCCTTGAGTGTTAGCTTTGGTCCTCTAAGCGCTCTTAACGAGAATTGTTTCTTGTCAACAGGAGCTGATTCAAAATGCAGATGATGCTCGAGCCACAGAGGTGGTTTTCATCCACGATGAGAGAAGCTATGGGACTGAGAGCCTTTGGACTGATGAACTGGGAAAATACCAAGGTATGCAGGGTGTGCAGAAAGCAGCACTGTTCTTTGCAAATCTGATGACACAGCTTGTTAGCCTCAAAGAAAAATTCAATGAATGCACACCTAAAAACAGGTGCTGGTCATGACAAATTGCAGTAAATAATAAAGAGACTTGCTGCACACAAAGCTTATATTTATTATTAATGCCAACATTTCATCCCCAGCCGGTCTTCAAGTTTGTTAGCATCACAGCAAAAAGATCCAGCCCTAAAATATGGGCCCTACATTTTGGAGTTTGTATGTTCTGCCTCTTTCCATGTGGGCTTTCTTTCATAGAGGGGAGACACAACACAAACTTGGTTCTCATGACCACCTGAAAAGGTGGAATTAGTCTGATATACTGCTAATTTCTATTCAGCAGACATAAGACAGCCTCTGCATTATAATGTACTGTATGCTGCTGGTTGCATTTACAGTAGACCATGGTGACCATATTAGACAAAAGATTCTAACATAATGATAGTATTACAAAAAAAATAAAGTGCACCTGCAATTAAAATATTAAAACCTTATGTCAGCTGATTTACAGTCTCAGCCTCCTAAAAATCTGACCATTCTTGCTTTATGCTGGAATACACTTCAAAATATGCAGTTAGAGAGAGACTGGAGAGAATTAATGAACAACACACAGATTAACTTAATGTCATAAGTACTTTGTTTAGAACCTTTTTTTCTTTTTTGCAAAGGCCCTGCTCTTTATGCTTACAACAATGCTGCATTCACTGACGAAGACTGGGAAGGAATTCAGATGGCCGGGAGGAGTGTTAAGCGCAATGACCCAAACAAAGTAGGGAGGTTTGGAATCGGCTTCAACTCCGTTTACCATACAACAGGTGAAACTTTATACAGTTAGCAAACATATAGTTAACAGTCTGCGTTTAAGTTTTAGTCTATAAAGAACACATGTACTAAGTTAATGGCACAATATTTGTTTCAATTTATTCACAGATGTGCCAGGTATATTCAGTTCGGGTCACCTCGGCATGATGGATCCCCAAGAGGAAATATTTGGAGAAGGTAAAGGAGGGTTTCGGTGGTCTATGGATGATGCGGAAGACCGGGAAACTTTGATGACGATGCATGATCAGTTCCAGCCTTTTCGAGATATAGTTTCACTTGTAAATGGACAAAACTGGTCAAAAGTTGTCTTGGAGGATCAGCACTTGGACGGCACAATTTTCCGATTCCCCTTGCGCAACAAGGCATCGGATATTTCAGATAATCTATATGACTCTGCTAAGGTGGTTGAGCTTTTTGATAGCTTCATTGCGGATGCAGACTTAAGCCTCCTGTTCCTCAAAAATGTGACCTCTGTGTCACTGATACATATTAACATACATGGCAAAGATAACATCAGACTTCAAGTGAAATCCTCAGTCCCCAGAGATGTCATTTTGGAGTCAACAGAGGGGTCTATCATCAAAGGGTCAACGAGGTTCAAACTGATAACCCTCAATTCAGAAGACCACAAAGAAACAAAGTGGCTTGTGACAACAGGTACCATGAAAGAAGGCAATGTAGGAAATCTTGATTCACTTGCAAAAAAGTTGAGTTTTTTTCCTCAAGTTGACTTGGCATTACCTTGTGGCGAGAAGAGAGACTGTGGTGAGAGCAGACTGAGCTGCTTTCTCCCTCTCCCAAACAATGAATCCAACAAGACAGGACTCCCGGTTTATGTCAATGCATGCTTCGGGCTTACAGACAATAGAAGGCACATAAAGTGGCAAGAAGAAGACCAGAAACATGATGAGCAAGCAATCTGGAATGAACTGTTGATGGAGGAGGTGCTCCCACAGACATACCTCATGATGATTCAAGATGCCATCCAACTGGCTCAACAGTCTATCCTCCCTGTCTCCGTCTATGATCTGTGGCCAGATATTGCTCAGATACAGCACAAAGACAAATGGCGTGATGTTGCTCTGGTTGTTCTTCGTCACTTATTCAGACAGAACATGGCTGTCCTCTCGCTTGCTAAAGATGAAACAAAGTTTATCACCCCATCAGAAGCTGTGTTTCCCTGCAATGGTCCAACAAGCTCTGACATATTGGCCGCCATTAAAAGTACTTTGGTTTCCTGTGGAGAAAATCTTGTTGCGTTACCAGATAATGCTACACGAGCTATAAATGAGGCCTATCCAGACCTCAGCAGCCTAAAAAGAGTGACCCCAGCTTTCCTAAGGGACATTCTGCACAGGATCGGTGTGCATAACATCTCTAAAGATGACAAACTTTGTCTTTTGGAGTACATTTTGAGTGATGGAAAATACAGAGAGCTCGAGGGTCTTCAGCTGCTTCCACTCTGCGATGGCTCTTTCAGATCTTTCACAAACAGAGAGAAGGACACTGCTTTAATTGACAGCAAAGAATTTCCAAGGTAGGGTTTTCATTTGTCAGTTATTGGAAATAAATGATTTCTGGGTTAAAATAGATGATTTGGATGAATAATGCTCACTTGTTTGAACCCCCAGTTTTGCTATTATAGCCTCAAGTAATTATCTACAATTAGACATATTATAACCCCATAGCATGTTTAGCAAATAGCTGCTGCTTTAAACAGCCAGCAAACACCCATTACGAGTGATGCTTTTCACATTACACCTTGAGCTGATCTATTGTTATAAAAATGTCAATTAGTTCAACTTTAACCATGGCACTATAATAAGCTAAAAATGGCAGGTATGATGATTTCTGGGTGCACATTGCGTCTCAGATGCTTTATATACATACATGCCACCTTTAATTTATGCAGAAATGTTAACCAAATGATTTCCAGCTTAAAAAAAACACCACAGGTATGGCTCAGGATGTTCCAGTTCAAATCAGTCTATATTAAATATTTATTAGTATAGACTATAAATTTAATATAGAACAGAATAAAGCAATTACAGTATTTCCATACTAATTTGACTTGTTGGCAGTTTTTCCTTAAATCCAGTTGTAGAATCACTAGTGCTGACTGGCTCCACCTTACTTTCTTTAGTTGCTGTTATTTTAGTCAGTTTTTGGTATTCTCTCCTGTTGAATTGAATTTAGAATGTAAAAGATTTTTTTGATCACTCATTTTATACTAAAAGTATATGCAAATGTCTTTGTTCCTGTTACATGAACAATGAACAAACTTATTTTTTCTACAGAGTCTTGCTGCCATGCTGCAAACACCTCTTCATTCCAGATGATCTCAGTCCAACCTGCAGAACTCACCTGAAGGAGCTGGCCACAAGAAGTAGGAATAGCATTTTATACGATAGTCTTTAAAAGCAATTTGCATCTGTCATCTACATGTTTTCACAGTCTACCTATATTCATGGATGTTTCTACAAAAATCTATATTTCAGAGTTCTTCAAGGTCATCAACATTGATGCAGACCAAGTGGCTAAATATACAAGGAGGTATTTGCCACAGGACTGGAAGCAGACGAAGGCCAGGCTTGTTACCTGGAACAGCAGCAGCGGTCAACATCCACCTTTTGACTGGCTCCAAGAATTCTGGAAATTTCTTAACACCCACTTCAAAGAGTTAAGTCATTTTGATGAATTACCATTAATACCAGTCACTCCGCTGTCTGTCAGTCAGCCTGTTTCACTAGCACGACTACAACAAAACACAACACTCATATTTCAGAAGAGTAAGCAACTTAGCTTGCCAGATCAAATAACTCAGTTGGTGGACAAAGTTGGTGGCACAGTGGTGAGAGAAAACAAGTGGCTCAGGCACGAAGACCTAGATTCTTATGTGCTCTCCCCATCTCCAAGGAGTGTGATGAAAATACTGCTGAATTTAGATTCTCAGCATCTCATCAAAGAACTCAAGACTGTCTCTCACAGAGCACGAGAAGACCTGAAAGATTATCTGTCTCGTCTGGATTCTCTCTCATGTAATGAGAAAGATTTACTCTCAAATTTACCTCTGTTTGAAACCATGAAGGGACCTTGTGTTGCTGCTCAATCAAAACAGGCAGTGCTTCTAATTTCGGGTCTAAAAGTACCATCAGAGCTCCCTATGCCTGATTCAGTTGTGCAATGTGCTACTGAGGCAGATCGTCGACTTTTACAGCTACTCAAGGTTAAACTTTTGGACACAGCTGAAGCAGCTACTATCCTCATTGACTGTATTGAGAAGGGGGCTTGCAGCAAAGAAGAGGCTGAGAAAATAATGAGATGGATTTTACAGCATGGCAATATCCTTTTCTCTCAAAATCAGATGTTGAAACGCAGATGTAAGGACTTGAGGTTCATTGAAGTGAATGGAGAGCTGAAAAAGACCTCGAGCCTCTTTGATCCAAGAATTCAAACTTTCACTTCCATTTTTGAGCCAGATTTCTTCCCTCCATCTGCATACAGTGGCACTTCACAGATGCTTGACAGCCTAACAGATCTTGGACTCATAAATAAAGAAGCAGATGTGTCACCTGAGCATTTGTTGCATGCCGCCACACTGATTGACAGACTGCATGTTGACGGTCAATCTCAGACTGATGCTCTCAAAAGAGCTCAGGTGTTATTGAAAATGTTGGATGCTAATGATCTCCTGTCAAAGTTTTCTCATGAGCAGCTTCAACACCTCAAAAAGCTAAACTGGGTCCCATGTGATAAACAATGCAATGACACAGTTCAGCAAAATAGTTTCTTCTGCCCAGATGAAATAAGACATTCAAGGTATAAGGACATTGTTGGGCATGTAATGCCTCTGGTAGGGAATCTCAGTGACAGAGTTGGCAACAAACTTGGTCTCCTAGCCCAACCTCCACCTGAAAAAGTGAAAGAAAATTTGTCAATCTTGGCATCAAAAGCACAGAAAATGTCCAATCCTGACACAAATGTGGATTTCAAAAGAAAGTTGCATAGCATTTACAAACACATGCAAGACCACATGTCTGACTTTGCAACAGTGATGAACACAGACTCATGCTGGCTGTGGAGCCACAACCGGTTTGTATCAACCAAGGATCTGGTTCTTGACTACCCATGTAATCTAGATCTGAGTGCTTACATTGGGAAGGTGCCAAAGGAATTTCTGCCATACAAGAAGCTACTCCAGAAGTTTGGCCTGAGATCATTGCTTTCAGATGAAGAAGTTGTTGGCATCCTTCAGTCTATCCAGAAAACCATTGATGAAAGGCAACAGCCATTTGCAAGCTCCTCTGATGTTAAAGTGTCAGTTGAAATTCTTAACTGGCTATGGAAGGAGAAGAAGACGGTTCAAGATGACATCCCAGTGCCAGTCCTCGTAGAGCGTGAACAGTATACCCTGAAACCACGGTCAAAGGCAGTGTTCTGCGACTTAAGCAAAAGTGGGTTGAAAGAGTTTAAATACAGCCAGGAGAAAATTCATGTCCTTCATGAGGAAATCCCAAAAGCAGCAGCGGAATGGCTGAATATTCAGTTTCTCAGTACACACATCCTTGATCCAGAGTTAGTGGGAATAGAACAGTGTGGACAATCTGAACCAATTACAATGAGGATTAAAAACATTCTTAAAGAGTATGATGAAGAAAGTGACATCTTCAAAGAACTCATTCAAAATGCAGAGGATGCTGGAGCAGAGGCCTGTAAATTCTTGGTGGATTTCAGAGTACACAGAGAAGCCCCTGAAAGTCTCATTGACCCTGACATGGCCCTTTGTCAGGGACCTTGTCTTTGGTCTTACAATAATGAGCAGTTCACAGCTGAGGATTGGGAAAATATTGTCAGAGTTGGCTCTGCCTCAAAGGAAAACAAGGTGGAAAAAATTGGAAAGTTTGGACTTGGATTCAATACAGTGTATCATGTGACAGATGTTCCTTCCATCCTTAGTGGCAGCAGTCTTCTCATACTTGATCCAAATGTCACTCATCTTAAGAAGCACATCAGACACAAAACAAATCCTGGACTCAAGCTTGATCTCTCCAGGCAGCACCTTTTTCAGTGGTTTCCTGGTCAGTTTGGACCATATGAACGCATTTTTGATTGTAATGTCTCCAGACCCTATCCAGGCACTCTGATCAAACTACCTTTCCGAACTGAAGAAGAGGCACTCAAGTCAGAAATAAGCACTAAGGTGTATCACAAGCACAATATCATCACTGTTCAACAGCACTTTACCGAGAATTCACAGATTCACCTGCTTTTTCTCAAAAACATCAATACAGTGTCTCTACAGAGTATCTCAAACAATGCATCAACTCCACCAAGAGATGACGAAATGGAAACTGTCCTTACTGTCTCCAAAATCACCCTGAGTACAGTGAAGATTCCTGATGAAACCAGTGCATCAAAGCAGCGTCAAGCTGAAAAATCACTAATGAAACTTGATGGAAAATGTAAAGAGGTAATTGACTGCTGCACAGTGAGCATTGTCCAAATAACTAGTCAGCAATCTGGTGTTACTGAAGTGCAGTCCTGGCTCCTGTACAATTGTTTTGGGACATATCAGTCCTTGAATATGGCCCTTCAAGAAAACAAGAAAGCCAAGTTCTCTTTGCCCATTGGGGGGATTGCTGTGCCTTTGCAAAATGATCCAAAAACTGGGAAATTTGCCTCATTACAAACTAATCTTGTTGGACAGGCATTTTGTTTCCTTCCTCTTTCTATTCACACTGGTCTTCCAGTCAATGTAAATGGAACATTTGCAGTGACCAGCAACCGAAAAGGCCTGTGGGAGAGTGGAGTGAAACATGACTGGAACCAAGCTCTTCTTCAGGATCCTGTAGTGACAGCATATGTTACTGCACTCTTGGCACTAAAGGAAATGTCTGAAAACAAGCAACTAGAAGCATACTGTTATCACACCTTTTGGCCTGATCGAGAGAAAGTGAGCAACACATTCAAGCCTTTGGTGGATGCGTTTTACTTGGCCATTGCCCAACCATCCACTGGCCCCAAGCTCTTTAGTGATGGAGAACACTGGTGCTCAATGAACAGTGCCATATTTCTACATGAGAGCATTGAAGAGGATAAAGACATCGGTACACTTGCAATGCAGGTGTGCAAGAAATATGCAGAAGCACCCAGCTGGGTGGTTCCTCTTCCATTGTGGTTGAGAAATAGCTTCAAACGGGCAGGCCTAGAACAGGTTTTACAGAACAGAACATGGAACTGGGAGAAGTTTTTCCAAGAAGCTGTGTTTAATAACCTTGGCACTATGGACCCTGTGAGTAGAGATGCTCTTGTGCTGCATGCTATTGACCTCCACAACAAAGAAATTGACAAACTACTGGTTTCCTATCCATGCGTCCCCACAAGAGGCGGGCAACTCCAATATATCAAGAAACTTGTGAATCCATCTGGGAAAGTGGCCTGTCTTTTTGAACCACAAGAAGGACGCTTGCTTGTTGGAACAAAAAATGACTTTTGCTCCCCCAAAAGAATTCAGCGCTTGTTGGAACTTGGAATGGCAAATGATCATCTCCCACTGGATGACATCACAGAGAAATCAGGCGCAATCGCCAGAATCTGGAGCACCGACAGAAAGAAAGCATATGGGCAATTGAAATGTCTTCTTGAACTCATGAAGGATCACATACACGATGAAGGCTCTTTCCACTGGCAAACACTGAGGACGACTGAGTTTCTCCCAGCATTTTCAGCTGGCGATACAAAAATGGAAAGAAATGTAACCCTTAGGAGTCCCATTGATGTTTTCAGTGACAAATGCTCTCTACTCATTAACATGACACAGCCTGTGCTGGATCATACCAATTTGAAAATACACAACACTGATCCAGTCCTAACCCTATTGGGAGTTCATGACAGTCCAAGTCCTGAGATGGTGTTTCAGCAGCTGCAAGAAGCATGCCAACAATCTCAATCCATTGACAGTGCCATGCTTCACCAAATAGCATATGAATGCTATACGTTTCTAGATCAGTGGCTCTGTGATTCCGGGGATCCCACTTTAGTTTCACAGAGGGCAAATTCATTCCCATTCATCCTTGTTGGCAATACATTTGTAAAAGTGAACCATGTTGCTGAAAATGAGCAATTTGAAGCAAAACCCTATCTCCACGTCCTCCCACGTGCATTTACAGTTTTCGAGAAGCTCTGGGAAAGTGTCGGTGTTGAAAAAAGGTTTACAATCAGCCAGTTTCAAACTGTGTTCCAGGAGCTGCACTCTCAACATGGAAACAAGCCACTTCCAAACAGTGATCTAACAATGTGCCTCACAGTATTAAACACAGGGATATTTCAGGCCAAAGAGAAGACACTGGATGACTTTCTGATACCAAATAAGCATGGCATTTTACAACCTGCAAGTGAACTGTTTTACAATGACAGCCCATGGATGCCAGTGGATGAAGGTATCACATTATGCCATGAGAATATCTCACGTGCTATGGCTCACTACTTTGGAATCACAACAACCAGGCACCATACTTTGCAAAACCACATAATTGAGGACATTTCACCATTTGCTTTTCAGTTTGAACAACACGAGCAACTGACTGTTCGAATTAAAAACATCATTTCATCATATCCGTCAAAGAAGGATATCCTTAAAGAGCTTATCCAAAATGCTGATGATGCTGAGGCGACGGAAATTCACTTTGTTTGGGACAAACGACAACATGGCACAAACAGAACATTTGGGAAGAAATGGAATCATCTGCAGGGTCCAGCACTGTGTGTGTTCAACAACAAAGTGTTTTCTGATGCTGACCTGGCTGGCATTCAACAGCTGGGAGAAGGAGGAAAGCACAACACTCCAGGCAAGACAGGAAAATACGGAGTTGGATTCAATTCTGTGTACCATCTGACTGACTGCCCATCAATCCTCACTGGAGATCAGAAGCTCTGCATTTCTGATCCTAATCAAAAATACATTGAAAGTCATTCAGACAAACCACTATCTGGCATTGGCTATAAACTAGCAGACACTTTTAAGAACATGTATGTAGATGTCTACAAATCCTTTCTTCCAGACAGTTTTCCTCTTAAAGAAGGCACCATGTTCAGATTACCTCTAAGGATGGGTACCATGGCAAATGGCTCTAAAATATCACAGCAGGGAGTCACTGACCATGACATGAACGAACTCTGCTCTGCCCTCTCTGAAGATCCTGAAGGACTCATTCTGTTTCTGAAAAACATCTGCAAGATAGAAGTCCATAAAATCAATGAACACTCAGGGAAACTGGAAACAGTCTTCACAGTTGAAAAAAGTCTACCAGAGAAATGCAGAGGAGAAAAAGATGCTTTTGTAAAGCTTCAACAAAATGCGCTCCAATCTGACAAACCGGTAACACCACACCAGGCTATTTATGGAACCATAATCTCAACCTCTGATAAAAGACAAAGTAAATGGATCATTGCAGAACAGTTTGGTTTGTTCAAAAACGATGATGAAGAAGAAATAAAACTATCAAACAAACTTCCCCAAGCAGCAATAGCAGCACGTGTGAGCTCAAATAGTTCATATTCATCATCCACCAATATGAAGTTTAATGGAGAAGCCTTTTGTTCACTTCCTTTGCCAGGGACTACTGGACTGCCAGTGCATATCAATGCTAATTTTGAGGTAGACTCTTCTAGGAGAAACCTCTGGAAAGAAGACGGAAAAAGTCTGAAAGCTAAGTGGAATGAATCTTTGAAACAGAATCTCATCGGTCCACTGTATGCAGACCTTCTTCATTACATCAGCCGTAACAATGGAGAAAAGAAAGTCTCTCTTTCAAAAGTTGAGTTATGTTTTGGCCACTCATACTTGTGCTTTTGGCCAATTGTGTCCACAGATGTCGGTCAGGAGTGGCATGAAATGATACATGAGGTATACAGATCCATCAAAGAAAGGGGCCTTAATGTGATTCCAGTGATGAGAAGCTCAACACGTGTAATTGCAGGACGAAATATTCAAGAGTACTCTTTTGACTGGTGTAACATCAGAGAAACTGAATCAACTAAGGCACCTTACCTGACACATTCAGATAATTACAACATTATTCCCATTTTGGATGATCTTGGAATGAAACTGGTGCCTTTTTCCACTGAAATGCAAAACATTTGGAATAGTTTCAGATCTGCTGGAATTGAACTGAAAGATGTAAATCCTGAAACTGTGCAGACTTTCCTGAAAGAAAAACCCCTCAATGATCCAGCCCAAACAGATAAGGGGTTACCCCTGCCCATAACTGACACTCTGATCAGAGATGAAGAACGATGTTCAAAGCTTTTAAAGTTCTGCTTAAAAGATTACTACCTAAAAAAGATCACTGCAGACAATTCCAGTGTACTCGATGGACTTCCACTTCTTCTCACAAGAGATAGAGTTTTGAGAGTGTTTAACTCAAAAGAGCCCAAGTTGATGTCAAGATATGGCAGTCTGTTCAATGGATATGAGTGCAAATTTGCAGATTATCAGACCAACAAAGAGCACACTCCTGTGCTACTAGCTTTCAACGTTGTCACAAATTTGACCGTTCACTGTGCAGCAGATTACCTCACAACATTAATTCAGGGTCATCTTCAGAACTGTGATGTCGATCCAGACAGTGGTCTTCATGTCCCAAATGAAAAAATGTCAAAGTGGTTGAATTCACTTTGGAAGTTCTTAACAAATGAAATTAAACCAGCAACATCTAACAAAGGTGAACAAAGTGTAACATTAAGTGATGTGAGACAGCTCTTCGAGGACTGCTGCATTTTACCTGTTGTGTGTCCAAGTTTAAACAACAAGCACTTCCTCCAAAAAATGAAAGACATGCCAAGTGTGATTCAGTACGGCTCATCACATGATACATCAGGCATCCTCTTTAAACTTGGTTTTATGAAGCTTAACATAGCATTCTTCTCTGAGATGCCTCAACAACGACAGTTACATTTATTGCTACAACCTGAACTTATGGATGTGAATGACAGAAGCTCTGTTCTGGACCAGGTCTACAGCGTTAACCACTCCAAGTTTTCCCAGCTTTCCCCTAATGAGATGAACGAGCTTCAGAACTTCCTGCAGTCTGGAGTATCCAAGGCCCAAAACACTCAGGAATATCAGAGAAAGCTCAAATCCTTACCATTATTTGAAACAATACATGGTGAGCGAGTGAGGATTGATGGACCTGAAGAGGTATTTATCCTCAACAGTAGTCTTTCAGTGACATTTCCAGACTTGTTCTTCCTGCCCCAGACCAACAGCATTTTTCTCAAATACCAGCCAGAGAACTGCAGTCTATCCCAAACACTGCACATCCAGATCCTGTCTGATATGGAGTATTTCATGAAGTTCATTCTGCCAATTGTACATAGTCTCAAAGAGAGGCAGTTGTTTTGCTGTCTCAAGCTGTTACTGTCACTACATTATGATCCAACTTATTACCAGTACAAGGAGAAAATCATCTCCTCAATGAAGACTGTGAAACTGATTTGCAGTTCTCAAGGCAGAATGGAAATGGCATCATACTACTATGATGAGAGGGTCAATCTCTTTAAGGAAATGTTGCCCCAGGAAAGATTTGTGCCTCAGAGATTTTGGAGCGAGTTGTGTGACGGTAATCCAGGAACAACAGATCGATTTAAAAATCTGGTTCAAGAACTTGGAATGAAGCATATTGTGTCAAATGACGATATAATAAACTTTGCACACCAGTTAGAATCAGACACAAAAGGCAACTGTCAGCTTGAAGGGCTGAAAAAGAAATCAACATTACTTTTCAGAGAAGCCTTGAATAAAGCAAGTAATGATGACAAAAACAAGACAAATTTGCTGCAGAGCATAGCTGACATTAAGTTCATTTTTCCAGCGACAATTCGAAAAGAACTGTGCAACTATCATCAACCATTTGCCACAGAGAAAACGGCTGTTAAAATCAGAGGATCTCTGATACAAAGTGAGTCTACACATCAAGAACTGATTTGGTCTTCAATGCCAATTATACATTTACCAGCCTATGTGACATCTAAGCTCAAGCAAATGATGAAAGATGCAGGTGCTCATGAAAAGCCACCTTCACAATGTGTAACCAATAACATGAGCAACATCTGTCAGTCGCCCTGCAAAAGTGAAGAGTTGATTGAAACCCGTGCTAAGGTGTTTCGAAGTTCCTATGCCTACTTGCAAGCAAATGGGTTTAAAGGACAGCCACTGGCCGGTCTTCCTGTTGTGTTGGTCGAAAAAGATACAGAACTTGTGAAGACTGATGATACGGTTCTTACACTCCCCTATTACAAAGAGTTCAGACCATATTTGTACAGCATTTCTCCACAGGATGTCCTGGTCACAGATTTCTTCAAGAAAATTGGTGTAAAGGAGAAGCCTACTGCAGTGCAGTATTGTAATGTTCTGGCAGCAGTTTTTGCCGACTCCTGTGATAAACCACAACTAAACCCAAACCAGCTCATAACTGTGAAACGTGCAGTTGAGCAGTTATTTAAGCTGATCAAAGCTCAAAAAAGCCAGTCCCTCAGTGATGTAAAGACCTTGTATCTTCCTGCAGTAGATGGTAAATTATACCCATCATGCTCACTCTACTACAATGACACAGTGTTTGAGACCAGACGGTTAGAAGAAGCACTGGAGAACAGAAATACACATCTGTTACTTGCGAAACTCAGTGAATGTCATCTGGGCAACGACTTCTATGAGCATCAGCGGTTGCTGCAATTGCTGCCTCCAAACTTTCAGCCTATGATGCTGTCTCAGGTCACAGAGGAGAAATTAGTAGAAGTGTACATGCAGTTTTGTGAGTTTGACACTGGATGTCAATTTAGTGGATGGTTTGACAAACATCTGTCCTCAGTAGCATTCAGATATGGCCTAATCTGTCTTATCAGAGAGCAGTCTAAAGGAGAAATAACACAAGAAGATGCTGCCAAGATGTGTGAGAAGACTTTTGGCAGTATTCAGATTGTCTGCTGCAAAAGCCTGAAAACAAAGCTTTGGCTGAATCAACAGCCACTAGACAACACTGCCACTGAAACTGATGTTTTTGTCAAAGGAGGGCAACAAGGTTGTGTCTTTTACTTAAAACACAATGATGACCTGGCTCCTAAGGTGATAAATGGCATCAACATGACATTGACAAAGGAGATTAATGCTCTTTTAGGAAACAAAATTGCATCAGGTCACATCCCAGTCCTGGGGCACCTTCTCACATGTGACAATCTGGAAGATGTTCAGAAAGTTCTGGCTAAGTATGAGATCCGTGACAGTGCTGAAACTAAAAGCTTCCGTCAAGATCCACCAGCCCCTGGGACAGATATTCCAGAAAAGTGGTATGATTCCTTAGATATGAATGTCCTCAATAACTTTGAAGAAGGGGAATATGTTGGCTACAACACTGAGGAGAAGTACATTTATGCAGTTATTGTTGAAGAACTGCCTGGAAAAACTGGACGGTATTCACAGAGATATAAAATAGATATTGGAGAAGATGAGCCAATCGAAGTCAGTTGTGTTGACCTGTATCAGTTTAAACGGGAAAAGAAGCCAAAACCTGAAGAGAGGACTTGCACATCTGCTGAAGCTTCTTGTATGGAGCTGGTGCCACTAGAGGGACCTGTGCCGCATTCTTCTCTACCATCAACCTCAAGTTCCTCATCTACAAGATCCTCACCAGCCTCTGTTGATGAAGCTAAAAGGGAAATTGACAAATGTTTGGCAGAGATCTGGACTCTTCCTCAGGAGGAGAGGCAAAAAGCCATCAAGCGACTGTACCTTAGATGGCATCCTGACAAAAATCTTGACTGTCAGGGACTTGCCACTGAAGCATTCAAATACTTGCAGAATCGGATTGACGAGCTCAGCAAAGGCAAAGGCAAAACAGGCTCATCTTGTCCTGGAGGAAACTCACATTTCAGAGACTTCTACCAGCAGTGGAATCAGGAGGCCCGGTATCACAGAAGGGGTCGAGAGAGCTACTATAGTAACTTCCATTCCTACAACTTTTGGACCCATAATGAAAATGTCCCGAGGCCAAACACAGAGGAGGCCCGGCGCTGGTGCAGACAGGCTCGCTGCGATCTCAACGCAGCTTACAAAGACAAGGGTGGAGGGAGCACAGAATGGTGTCTGTTCAAAATCCATCAAGCTGTGGAAAAGTCTCTTATAGCTGCAGAGTATAAACGATCTGGTCAAAATCCCACACCCTGCTCCATTTCAGCAATTGCTGAAAAAATTTCCCTGAACAATCCCAAACTGAGAATTCTGCCCAAAATTGTGGAACATCTTAAGAAGCTGGGAGTGGACAACAAAAAAACTCAATATCCTAACTGCCACCGATTTCCCCACATTCCAAATGATCAGTTCAACTCAGAGAATGAAATGGAAGCTCTGAGCCAGGCGTCCAAGCTGCTCGATCAAGTCGAGGCATATGTGAATTAGGGATTCAAGACAGACAGTTCATGTTGGAAGAGTGAATTAGATTTTTTTTTTTTTATGTCAACAATACTGTTAAGCTATATGGTTATGTTGAAGCATCACTATGACAGAACAATTATTTAAAAGGATAAACATAAGCCTGAGTTATACATATGAAAATTCTGAATGAAACGTGTTTTGAAAATGTTAATTGTTTTGTGCATTGTTGCAGACATGTCTACTTACTGAGAACCAGTATAATCACTGTATACCTTAAGTTGTTTTTCTCTTGACATTGTAAACATGTATGATTAGTCTGAGAACCAATGTAGTCACCGTACAACTATGTGATAATTATAACCAAAACTAATTTTACCACTAGTTAACTAATTTTTGTTTGTTCTTTTATCTGTTCTCTTTTGTAAATGACATTTAGTAAAGGATGAAACAGTAAATCCTGTTCATGATTTTAAACATGATAGTAAAAATGTCACCAGACACTGTAGGACAAGTGAGTTTGGAATTAACTTCCTGCACTACTACATGTAGTATTTAGACAAGTATCATCAACATCACTGTTGGACCAAAAGTCATAAAAACTCAGTCCGAGATTCTAGAGAGGTTTTCTTCTTTTTATTCATTAAGAAAAGGTGTTATGAAAATAATGACAACTAATCACATAGACAAATGATCTTTCCATATGTGAATGACTAAAGTTTGCTCTGGAGGACGTGATTATCTCAGCAGTCACCAGAGCAAACCTGTCTTCTCATTGTGCTCAAAGTGTGCTTGGCCTCATCCTAAAGTAAAAATGTTACAAGGCTATTGATGTCTCTCTCCAATGTTCACTAATGAATCAGTTTGAAATAATTTGTTTTTTGAAAAACAAAGTTCTTGTATATACCAGATCCAGTCTTTGTGTGATGTTTGTCATCTTCCCCATCTATTAATAATTTACATACAACCTGTACATACTTTACAGCAGGCTGGAGGCCTGTTTCTTTTGGGAGGAACCCATAGAAAAAAAAGAAGCAACATAACGTGAATCTTTAGAAATTCAATGTGATGAGATGGGAGTTGAAGGTGTTTGGAGCACATTAGCCACTTGTCTCATATGGTACATGCAATGCAACATTTTCTAACAATCATTCAATCTCATGTAACTCAAAATGAGACCGCGACATTCTGCATCAGACCCATACCCATTACAATTTCTTGAAGTACTTTGCTATGAGACATTAACCAGGACAGACATTAAAAATACTCATGGAGTGTGTTTGTAATGGCTGATGTAAGGATCAAGTATGTTCATCTTAGCCAAAAAGACACTGGGTGCAATAGATCATACCAAACCTCCTCCTGCATATTCCTTCACTATCCAACAGCTGGTAAACTTCACAAAATTAAGTTAAACAGGAGCTGGGATAGAAACAGGCATCTGAAAAAACAATTAAGGCTTAATATCATTTGGCATGTTGCTAATAATAAGCAACAATTAAATTCCTCACCATCTCGTGACTTTAAATGATTGGTAGTTCTTGTCTGCAGTCATTCAAAGCAGTCTTTCACATCACTCATACAGCATTTTGTTCAGATAAAACTATTTTACACATTTTAGATTTAGAAAAAACACAATTTAGTTTAAACCACAGCATTAATTCTAAGTGTTTCGTTACTGACACTACAAACTAAAACATTACTGCTGGAATGAGCATCAAATAGCACTAACTGCCTCTCCTTCAATACCACGTGCTGTGTGCTTCTTTGTTGGTGCAGTAACATGATCTGAACTGAGCAGGAACATAAACATCTGGGTTTACGTCAGGGCACAGGTGTCACTGAACAGCTGCTCTCACCGGTCTTGTGACAGTGCTCATGAGAGACACTTTATCTATGAAGCATCTGACCAGTAATGCTCTGAAAATAAAACACGGTCAAGCTTGTTTGAACCAGTCAGTCCTGTTCTATGGCACAAGAGTATGGCAACAACATTCATAACTTTGGAGACTGGCAAATTATGTTAATGGCACAGTGTAGTGTTATACCTTAATTGGGGTGTCCTGGGTTTAAGGAGTCATAAGTTCTGTCACACATACAAAACTCAACAACCAAAACGCCCTTTAAAATATTATTTGTTGAGGCAAATCAGACTTGAGGTTTGTCTCTTGGAATTTTGCATCTGCGTTTCTTTCATGCTAGATTTCCCCTCTACAAAGCTGCAGGAAAAGGGCAGCTTGCATTCTTTCACAGCATCCGTACTGACACCGAGCCTTCGACTGTTGCAATCTGCATATTTATCATTCTTCTGTCTCCTGTGGCGCAGTAAACTGCATGCAGGGGTAACCATCCTGCCCTCACATGTTGTACGCCACATAAATAGGATCCAGCTGGTCGGCCAGGAATCCATCTCTGAGGTGCATGCGTTGCTTCTCCCCTCGGGAGTTGATGGGGATGACGCCGGGGTCGACCACCACCACCACCCCCACAATGAGGTAGTGCTCCTCCAGGACAACGTTTGTAACCAGGGCCACCAGGTCCAGGGCCTCCTGCTCAGACCCTTCGAGCTCCACAACCACCACAAGGAGATTGGTCCAAGTGAACACCGCACTGGAGCGGGGGATGAGGTGGTGAATGCATGAAGAGAAGGAAAAATGGAATCAAAAGAAAATGTGGACAGAGAAGGTGAGGAAGGTGGGAGACTACATAATGAATAGTCAAACTGAAGAGTGATAAAGTAATAGGTTGTAAGTGATGTCAATTTCTCACCATTCAGCTATGCTCTTGTGAGAACGGATAACAGAGGTTTCGATGTCAGTTGGGTGATACCTCATTCCCCTCAGCTCCAGAGTCTCATCAAGAGAGCCCACCACATAGAGGGCATCATGACGCTCTAAGACACACACATAATTTTCACAGATCTATCAGTTTTTAATATGGTAAAGAAAGATAGGTGATGTTAGGCAGAAAAACAAAGGTAGAAAATATCTTTAGTTTTCTGTGGTGAAAAAGATAAATAAAAGTGAGTGCAGCTACACCAAAAGCAATGAGTGTAATTTAGCATGAGCACTAGTTCTCACCTCCGCTGGCATCGGTCAGCTCAGTGCGCCGCAGGAAGCCCAGGTAGCCCGTTCTCGCCCAGACAGTCTGGGTGTCACCAAAGCTAAGCTTAGTGTTGAAGTGGTCAGCATGGAGTGCCTCCTCCCCATAAACTGTGTAGTACCCTGTGGCATTGTGAGGACTGCTCACCCAGATCTGCCACACACACACACACACACAATGGCAACTGGTAACTGTTACACAGATGATGACACACAAGCACCACTCTTATGGTGAAAGCTTCAGATCTTTTAAAGTAACTACGACTTCCAAGCTCAAATACACTGCCCAGCCACTTTAATAGTCACACACCTGTACAGTTGTATGCACACTTCCACCTTAACATCTGTGTTTATGAAGCTCAAAATGTTTTAGTTTTTGTTGAAATTGTCAAATGTATAAATCCAATTATATGTTTATTATTGAGGTCATAGTTAAAGGTGGTGTTGTACTGGACTAATCACCCCCCAACCCCCACCTTAGCATCTGCCTTTACTGAAGAATTAAACACACTGACTGTGGGTCATAACCAGGTGAGGCTCAAACGAAGCTGCTCTAAAAAGCTTCTCCAATCACACTGTGCCTTACCTCTCCTAGATGGGAGTCTCCTAGGGGTCCTTTAGTCTCTGTGTTGGCAATGATTACTTTGACTCCTGGAAGGATCTATAACAACAGACACCCATATATCAAATGAACAAAACAGCCTAAGAAGATTAAGAGCAGCCCTTTTGCATTATGAAGTCACAGTAATTAATGTTTTAATGCATGTTTGCATCAGACTGTACCTTCCCAGACTCCATCAGAGGCAAGCTATGTGGTGACCCTCTTTCGACTAGGCGAACCCTGAAGAAGATGCAAATAAAACATCTACATTCGTAATGAAATTAGAATGGAAGACAGTGGTGACAGTGGCGCCCCCTACCTATCATGTCGTAGAGCTCTCATGTCCACATAAACAGTGGTGGGGTCTGGTCCAGCTGTGCCCTGGAGAAAAACAAACATCACATCAGTCAGTAATGTACCTCGTATTGCCCTGACATGAACAAATGATGCATGTTGCCTGAATGGAGGGAAGGTAAAACTGAGATAGATAAAACTGCTGACAAAGCAGGGGAGATGCCAGAAGCCAACCAGCCAGGCTACAATAGTTAGGACTTGCAGGACTGGCCAAACTCAGCCATGTAGCCACAGACAGCGTAACTACCTGCACAGTTAAATTCACCTGCTCTAATGCTTTTAGTCTGTTTTTATACAACTATAACAAGGCTGTGAAAAGCTGCAGTGCCAATTATTAGAGGCCTACAAGAAATGGCAAATGATCTGAAGTTTAGAAATTCCTGACGTGCTTTGGACTGAATGTCTGCAGCTCTTCTGTGCAGCTGATTTCTATCTGAACTATGTACTAATTGTGGTTGTCAGATACTGAGTCCTTGTACTCTGTGATTTGTCATCATCACTGCTGTAATACTAGGCACAGCATAATATGTTTTCCACGGCCCTTTTGCCAGTGTATAGCCAGAGCACAAGCTAACAAGAAGTCACTGTATAGTTGTCTGTGAGGTCAAAGCCAAACACAGAGCAGGCTGATTCAATTTAATGAGCCGGGGAGGGGGGCGCAGGGCAGCACATCAAGCCAAGCACAGGTTTCAGCAACAAAGCGTTCTTGGAAAACATATAGACTCAATCCAGAGATTAGTTTTGCCATAAAGCCAAAGCAGTCTGATTAGCATAATTAAGACTGCATTGGTCACTACTATCAAACATTTTCCTTCCTGAACCGGAACAGCATGTCAATTCAAGAATTTAAGATACCACTACTCAATTTAGAACTCTCCCCAAAATCAATGCATCACATCTGCTAGTTCAGGGTTTAATGAACTGCAATAACATGATGCCAAAGCCTGTCATAGAAAAAGGACACCAAGGGAGAAATCACTGAATTAAGGTTAAGCATGTTCAAATATCATGCAAGATAAACAACAAACACACAGGAACAGCCACACACACACACACACACACACAAAACCAGTGGCAGCCTATTGAGCAAATGGCCACTCTTATGCCACAGTACCTGCTCAGCCAGTTTCCCTAACCTGTTGGGCTGACAGGACAGGGCAGGACAGATAAATAAGGATAGATATATATGTATGCATTTATATATGTGGACACACATGCACACAGCAAGCACAAAAAAAAAAAAAAAATTCACAAGGGATTGGAAAAAGCATTAAAACCAAACACTGAAGGGTCAAAGTCAGAACGAGTGACAACCCAGTGCAAATATCAAACATCTATGGAGCCTGAAAACTGACAAAAGCCAAAGTTAACAAATAATTCTATCTAATTATAACAGCAAATAAAACAAAATATAAAATGCAGCGTTGTAGACGAGTTACTAAACCTCAAGTCCGAGTGAAGTCTGAGTCAAGTCCCTGTTACCCGAGTCAGAGTTGTACGGCAGGATGTGAGTGAACAAGTTGTATAGTAATATCTTATGCCAAACTATTGTTGCCTGTTACAGGAAAAAAAAATAAAAGTTTCAGTCCTCCTCTCCAACTTCCAAGTCCGAGTGCAGTCAATACTCGTATCTGAGTCCAAGTCCGATTCATCAGTGCTCAAGTCCAAGTTGAGTGATGAGTCCTGAGCCCTGGACTCAAGTACTACAACACTGGTAAAATGAAACCTGTTTTATACTTTATTCCTTTAACTTCAGATTAGTTGACAGAAAAAGAGCCTCTGCTTCCCCCCTTTACTTCAAATCAGTTAATAAAATAAAGCTATGTTTTTTTTACTGGCTCATTTCTACCAGCTAAAATGACTTCGGTTCTGGTGTGTGGTGCTGAAAATTAAAATTAGCTAGTAAAAGACATTCAGTACAAAAACATTTTTGTTCCCAACAACTTTGCGATTAAGGTTACAAAGCTAAATGTTTCTTTTTGCACACCATTTTGGTAACGGTATTACTAATGATGGATTCAATTATAATTTTGACTCATTGAAATCTTTAGTGGCTTTTGTCAGTTTCTTGACTCCATGCAAAAAACACTCAACTCTTCTGGAACTGACAGGTGTCATATAAATGTCCACTGTCCCCTTCTCACCTCTATTACATAGCGGTGAAATATTCCATCTGCCTTTTACATCATCACCAGTATTCCTACCTGCAAACAGATGGCCACATTCACCCTGCAGCCAAAGGTGGTGCTGACAGCACGTGGGGAGAGGCCCAGGTCTTTGAAGATCTTTGAGAAGGACTGTGTGAGTGTTATTCGGGGCCTCTCCTCTGCCACCACCATGCATGTACGCACACAAGACAAGTTCACGTTTCGTAACTGGAAGTGGAAAAAAGAAAAAAAGAAGTCGTGTCAACACAAACAAAAATATAAGTGCAAATTGGGAGAAAAGTACAGTTAAAGTGATAATGTGACATTCTCAATATGAAACTAGGAGCTGATGAGAGACATCTAATGGTTTTCATATTGTTATAACTCTTTTTATTAGCTAGACTTTACTCATTAAACCACAGACATGATTTGTAAGAAGTCCCACTCTCATGTGTTCCAGACAGTAATCAGCACTCAGGCACAGAGGAGTGAAGTGTCCATAATCACTGCACCACAGGTAAAAGAAGCACACTTCAGTTCAGTGGAAGTAAATGCCACAGTTTGTTGTGACACCATTCAACAACTGAAGAGAAACTGACCCGCAGCGCTTCTGTCTGTGAACCTAGGCCCTTAGTGCACATCTCCATGACCGAATACGAGCAGAAGGTGACGCGCACTTTGTACTGGCTGACCGCAGCAAGCCACAGAGACACATTTGTCTCTAGCTCCAGAGGAGGAACCAGGATGGACTGGTGGCCCGAGTACACGCTGAAACAAAGACAAACGTCAAAACAGTCAGCTCCACTCACACAGGCTCTTAAACTCTAGTGATAGTACTTCTGGTTTTACTATGGTTTACCTGCACAGGCACCAGAGAGCAAAGCCAAGGCCGCAGTAGGGGTCGAGACAGATGGCAATCTGCCGAGAAGGGTAGAGCTCACACTGCAGCTTAATGGAGCGACACAAGGCACTGGTGGCAGAGTGAGACATCTAGAGGAGATGACAGAACACAGAGAACAAGGTCCTGGAGTCAAATTCACCCTTAAAACAACTCACATCTTCAATCACTTACTGAATCAGTTCATTTGCTGACAAGTTTGAGAACCTTCTTATAAAATCTGACTGTTGCACACTTCCTGACCACCAACTGGAGGCCACAGGCTTATACATTTACCTAATTTAAACATCTACTTTCTATTTTGCTTATACTGACAGGAACCATATCATTGTTTTATTCATGAGAACAAACTGTAAAATATAACAATATTAAAGTTGTGCAAATTAAGAAATACTGCTAACATCCCAGCATAAAGACTGCACCCTGTTGTGGCCCTTCAACATACTTTGACCCCTGCTAGGATGCCTGTTGTGGACACACTGAAGTCCAGGTAAGCTAACATCTCTGGGGTCGGGGGTTTGTACATCTGGGGACTCTTCTTCCTGGGGAGGTCATCTGGAGGACAAAAAAGAAGAAACAGAGGAGGAGTTTTTAAAGCTGGTACAGATATCACACACGTTTCCTGTCAGTATTTAAAAACCTACATTACTGTGTTAACAAGACGGTATAAACTAAAGACCTTAGTGTGTGTGTGTGTGTGTGTGTGTGTGTGTGCGCACCTGTGTCCAACACCATGGGCCAGCTCTTGATGTCCACTGCAGCAGCAGCCTCTTTGGATTTCAACAGCTTCATTATTGCTTGTGTAGTCAGGATACACACCGACTTACTGACCTTTAACACACAGACACTACAATATTACTACATGTATATTTCTTTAACTGTTCACACAATTAGCTGTTAGAAAGAAAAGCATCCTAACAGAGTGCAGCGCTGACTCTGTACATGTGTAATTCATTTTAACTGTTTACATTCACCGGGTTTAATTAGTATTCTGATGCACGTCAGTGGACTTTGCATTACCTCAACAATCATCTTGACGGTGGGCAGGGTGGTGGCCAGGTTCTGGGGATGCGGGGGTCTGACAGTGACCGGCAGACAGCCAGCATACAGGCAACCATAGAAGGTGGCAATCAGGTCAATTCCTGCACATAAATGTTAACATTTAACAGGGCTTTAACTTTATTCCACATCTTGTTCCAATAGAGTAACAGTAGAATAAGCTTGACAATATGAAGAACTTTACTTAAAGCCTCTGATTTCTGTTGGTGTGTGATTAACAGATAGAACTAAGACTAAAGACAAGGATAGTAAAAGACAATACTGAAGGGACAAGTAGCACAGCAGCAACAGGACCTCTTACCTGGTGGGTAGACAAGTGCTACATGGTCGCCAGTGTTTAGTCTTCCCATCAAGGCTGCAGCCACCCGCTCTGCCCGTTTGTGCAGCTGCAGGCAGGAGGCTGTGCTGGCCACTGTGCCCTGATAAGAACACACATTTTGTTTCTAACAGTTTTACCTACAAACAGTTTCACGACTGAATATCCAGGAAATGTCCTATACCACAACATATTGCCATTGCAAGACAAAGTTTTATTTAACAGGATAGGAAGTGTTATCTGTATCACCCTTGTTAAGTCAGAACCTGGCAAACAAATTATGAACAAAGAGGCAGTACCTTAGCATTGAGAACAAGGAACAGCGGATGATCTGGAGTGGCCTGAGCTCTCCATTGTAGCACATCCTGTATGTAGAGGAACTATACAAGAGACAAAGAAACAGGTTTTACTACAGAGGAGTCAAAGTCATTGAGCCCATGATAACTCGTTATGCAAATGGATGTTATTGATAAAGGACAGATATGATGGAGCACAGGATGGGACCGAACTGCACCAATCCAGTGCTCATTCTGACAGTCTGAGCCACAGAACAAGAAAGTCAAAATGCTGTCTGGTGGTGTCACGCACACTTCATGTAGTTCTGATTCCATTCAATCATTTATGGATCTTTACCCGTGTCTGCACTGTATGTGTGGGTGAAACAGAGCACACGAGGGGAGTGGAACGCGAGTGAGCGGTAGCTGGGGATTTTGGACAGAACGGCTTTTTGAAAAAGGAGGGAGTGTCTCCTTATGTACCGCTCACACCACCAGTCTGAAGCATGCCCAAGCTCGATCCAGAATGCATCTGTCTTGCACAGTCATCTAACACTTTTCGGTCACAAATCTGCCATTGCGAGCCCAATAATGGAATTCCTAAAGTACTTTAAAAAGGTCATACAGGTGTACTGTATATCATTTATTTAATTAGGCCCATTGATTTGTTGAATTTTACATATTACTTTGTGCTATATTCCCTGATGGACTAGTGGCTAGGATTCAGCGCTCTCGCCGCTGTGCCCCGGGTTCGATTCAGGGTTGCGTCATGAAGGGCATCCGGCGTAAAACACGTGCCAGACTTCACCATGCGAGTCGTCAGTGTGACGATTCGCTGTGGCGACTCTTCACAGGAGCAGCGGAGAGTGAACTATTACTTTGTTACAAAAAGTAGTGGTTGTTCTTTATTTGTTTAGGATGTAAGGCTACGGTGTAAGCTAAAAGTGAAATACCCTTTTTTTGGAGTGAGCGGGTGTGATTTGAGTGTAGTGGGACCCAATCTGAGTTGAGGGCTGAGCGATAATGAACGGAGCGGCCTGGTGTGACTTTAAGCGAGGGAGCGGGGCGGGCAAACAGCTCAGTGAGTGAGAAGCATTCCACTCTGGTCATATGCTGAGGGATGAAATGAGGATGGTTCTACTATACGTGCCTGGTCATTGTCCTCCAGCTGTGCCACGTCTCTGCCACAGGCCTGTGCTATCCTCTTGCCTGCCACCAGGTTGCCCACTATCATAGAAGCAGGACCTACCTCTGTCCAACATAACCAAACAATGTCATCATACATTACATGTTATAGTTAACACCAGCATTTACATCAACATAAAAATAAACCCAGCAGGAAAAAAAATGAACAAACAAACAAGTCTTCATGCTGCATTTGCTTCTGAACCTGATCCATGCTGGGACATCTTGTGGGCTACCTGGCTGTTTTTGTCTTGGCTTTGGCAGGTTGGTGACACATGTGTGAGGGCACATGAGGACGTTGCAGGGGTGCAAGGCACCCTCCAGGAAGCGCTGCTTTGTCTCAGATATATGGATGCCGCCCAGAGGAGCCTTAGGAAGCGTGTTGGCAGGCACCAGGGCTAGGCAGTACACCCCGACCTGGTGGATGCTGTCAATGGCCTGGGAACAAAAAAGGAACAGATGCACAAACAGACAAAAACCAGAGATTAGCAAAGGTGCCTTTTTTGTCCGGATTAACTACAAACCACAAATACTTCACTTTTTGATGACAAAGTCGGTATGGTCCGACCGATTTCGTATTCTTCAGCTACTTGGCGTTTCCTACCTTTCTTGAAGCTTCAGTTCTTTATTCTGTTGATTTGATTATCTAGCAACATACTGTATAGTCAGAAATAATTAGGGCATACTTAACTGTTAAAATCCTACTCCAACAAACTATATAATGGCTTGTTAGCAGTTGGTTGTAAGCTTTTATATGCCACAATGTCCTTGAACATATCACCAAAGAAAGATTTCAAAGCCTTAATTTTAACTGTATCAGCATTTAACAACAAGGCAACGTGGACAGAAAACAGAGGCAGCACACTGGTTGCCTTTATCCACTGGAAAAAAATTACCTCAGAGAATTCTGAACACTTCTGCAAGGTGGTTTTATAATAAACTGACATATACTCAAACTGGAGTTTTCCTGAAAGGTAGAAAATCTGTAACCTTATGACATGTTGTAGAAAACAGTCAGGAGTATCTACTGTACAGCAAGTACACCAGAGTTGCCCTTACTAAAAATAAAAACACGCAAAACCACAAGTGTAGTCCTTCAGTTGCTATAGATAGTGGAAAAGACTGAGCCCAGTCAGCACCTGAAGGACACGGCTCATCCACTGGAAGCTGTCTTCTTCAGAGGCGTCCGGCCTCTGCTCTGCCACAACAACGATCCTCTCATCATGAAGCACAGGCACAGAAAACACTGCTATCCTGAAACACACGACGCAAAACAACACTGACGGTAACTCAGTCACAGTTGGTGGTGTCTTGTTACGCTCTCAGCAGAGTAAGACAGACTCTGAATGCTTTTCTGGCTGCCTTTACCTCCCCCTATAAACAAATTTCATAGGCTCCACTGCCAGTGCTGTGGCAACTACGTCATCAGCGTTGTGTCTCCGCCCACTGACCACCATCAGCCCATCCATCTTCCCCACGACAAACACAAGGCTCTCCTGGTGAGAAATACAAAGCAGATACATTTAGATGGTTAGTGTTATTTACCCTATTTACAGGAGAATGTACAGTTTAGCCTGTGTGATGGTGATAGACTAGAAATCTACCGCAAAAGTATTACTGACGACTTACAAACTGTCAGAAAAAGAAAAATGTTTCCTTTCTCATTGTGTTTTAAACTGGAACCATAAATTCAGTTCTGTGAAGGCTGTTGAAATCCCACAGGGTAGACTGAGCAAAACCAAGGATGTTAGTGTTATATAGTACATGTCAAATATCTGACTGCTCTGTTAAAAACACATCATGTAAGTAACAAAATCTACGGAAGAGAATTAAAACAATTGAGTTCTGACTTTAAGCTCAGAATTTCTCCTTTTTTCATTTTAGAAAAAAGAATTGAGAAAAAAAAGCCAGAATTTTTTTTAAAACAATGGCCCTAATCCTCTTCTGTACAAAATTGCAAGTGGGAATTTGAGGAGATTTGACGTATTTAAGCTATTTCAGAGCTGTAAGACACAACATCTGACTATAGCAAGGTTAAAGACCGGACATAAATGGACCTACCGGTCCCACAAAGCCCAGCAGAGAGGTCCTGATGAAGGATCTGTCACTGATGGGAACCCCAGATGATGTCACTGGGATGGTCTGCAACAGGAAACACGTGTACAGAAAGTACAAAAATCGATCATCGCCTGTACTTAAAATAACTCTATAATAAGATACCAGATTTGTTTAAACAAGGTTTTATCCTGCAGCAGTTAAAACACAGCAGTGTGGTGAAAAAAGTGAATTGTTACTATTACACGAGCATTTATATACTGCATGTCAACAACATGCTTCGTCACACCTGAACAGTTCCAGAAATAAAAGACTAACCTCAAAGATGTTCTTGGTCATGCCTGGAAGGCCGTAGTAAGCTACACCAGTGCTCCCTGAGCTCACACAGATTTCTCCAACCTCGTCTGTCTGACAGAGATAAGGTGTCCCCTCCACCCGCACCACACAAACCACAGCTGGAGGCACACAATGATGACAGGAGAATTCAACACCAAAGCAGTGAAACATCATTTCATGTATTGTAGAGGTCTAAATTGGTTTACTTATTTTTGTCTGGTTTTAGTCTTCATTCGTTTATGACTTCCAATATTTTATTGTTTAACTGGATTTTGATTTGAGTTGTTTTGTTACCGTCGACAAAGTGCTGTGTGGATCTGTGTAATATGCTACAAAGAAGGGGGAAACGCCATGATGTAGTGCACATAGAATAAGAGAAGGCAGCTGAAGTACTATTGCTAAACATTTTCATGTTCATCCGTCTTCACATAACACATACAGCAGCAGGACTCTTGATTAAACAGCACTGAGAAGTTGGAATTTTGTTGTTCTTTTCAGCCAGATCCTACAAAAGCTCTGGTATAAACACAAAGAGTGCATGTCACCTTCTTTTTTTTGTTAGGATTGTTTCTGATTAAGAGCAGCAGACTGTGAAAGAGCAGTGCACCGTACCTCCAGGCATGACCTGTCCCACATCCTGCACTGTGAGAACTGAGAGTTTCTCCTCTGTGTCCACACGGATCACACTGTGGCTCAACCCACCCATAGATAGCACTGCCTTCCCTGGGGGAGGAACATTCATTTCTGGAGGTCTGCAGAACACACACATTTTACAGTTATGCTCTTTACTACAGAACATGACATACATGCTACGTTATAGACATCTACTGTTGTCCAAAACCAACACTGTCACTTCCTCCTCATCGTGGCAAACCAAACATGCGGCTCACAGTTTGAATGGTTATGCTTAGGCTTAGTTCATGAAATGCAGCTCTGTTTTTTTAATTGGCAGACTGAGCCATCCGCTGCCTCGGTACATCATCCTCATTAGAGCAGGACTACCATCTGACAAGGAGAGAGATATCTTTGTAGAATATGGAGACCCTATGAATCTGAGACACAGAGTCTGTGATTCTAGTACAAAATTCTCTCACATATATCTGAAAACAAAATACATTTTAAAAACAGATCCAGCTTCTCTATTTGAAGCATATGTTTTTAGACTGTCTGTCACTGTCCTTCATGATCGGCAGAAATCTGTGAAATCCCGCAGTCTGTCCCCTGTGTGAAACATCTTCCTCCTCTCTCTGCAGGATCCAGCTAGTGCTGCGAACACAGTGTGATATAACAGCACAGCAATGCACAGTGGTGGCAGGTTGCTTTGTTCTAATAATGTGCAGTAACGGCAGCTCACCTCCGGATGGCGACAGTCATGGCTTCTGAAGAGCTGGCACATGGACAGATCACCTCAGGTCGCAGCCCACGTGCCTGGAACACGTTCAGGAAAGCATCGCAGGAGGATATCGACCCTGCGGTAACACACACAGACACACACACACAACCAGCCAAACAGATATACAAGCAAACACAAACAAAGTAAATCAACAATAAGCTCTTCCAGCTTTGGAGGTGTTTAATAAGTCTGCAGGTGGGCTCACATGGATTTGCTCCGTCGGCTACAATCAGCATGCGCAGTGAGCTCAGGCTGATGTCTCTCTGGTCTCTCTGGGCCAGTAGAGACCAATGCATGTCCCTCGACTTCACCACTGCTACCCGTGCTGTGTACCAGGGACACAGAGACAAAGAGATAATCAATAACAAAATCATCCTATCAGCACCTCTGTCACCCATTATACTAGCCAATCACACATCACAAGGTCTGATAGCTAAGGCACAGTACAGCCCGACTCAGCTGCCAACAGGCGACTCAGTGGAGCTCAGACAGGAATGTCATATTTTATTCACCAATGCAGGTGTCCTGTCCCTGACCCCCACCTAGCTATTACAACTGAGCTAGAACGAGTCCAGCAAACTATTGTGTTAATCCGTCCACCCCTGTCAAGTGTCCAGTGAAAATAAAAACATTTACAATGAACAGGCTCTTTATGAAAGTCAAACTTTGTCTAATACAGTCAGTAAAAACAAACTGTCACTGTTTAGCAGGTTTCCGATGCTTTTTTCCTCAAGGTACTTTGCTGTGAAAATTTATTCAGTATGCGTGTGTGCTATTTTTTAAGTATGATAAAATGCACTATAACAAAATGAAATATTTTCCATACTAAACAAATGACAATGCCCTCACCTTTATATGTGTGAACCTTTTGTATCCAGGAGAGGGGGTTGACTTTCATCAAGGAGTAAGGAATGCTGATCACATGCATCCGATTCATTACGCTCTGCCATGAACATAGACAAGCGTCTATATTACATCTACATTATGTCCTTAAAAAAACAAGCTGCCAAGTCATGATCATTTACCAGTATAATACAAGTATGTTTGTGCTACTGGTTTATCATTTTAGGAATTTAAAAGTATAACAGCAGGTTAGGGATGAACTTCAAGTAAATTCCACGTATATTTGAAACTAGTTCACGAAAGCTAAGTTGCCTACGTCTTCGAAGAAATTGGATATTGAGATGTGACACATAATGACTTTGCCCATCAGGGCTTCATTATTTTGAATGCATCAACATATTGATGAAGCTCTCATCACGAAGGAATCAGTCAAATAAATAAGCAATTTATCAGAAAACTGAGCACAGATCTGTTCGTCATATAACCATCCTGTAAGCTTTACCGGGGGGGTTAAGATTACTCACCGCGAGAACACCGTGCCATAATCCTGCTTCTCTTTTGAAGTCCAGGACGTTGGTTATGACCTCAGCTGTAAATCAAAAAGGAAATTTCATCATGGTTAAAAGAAAATCTGGAATGAAGAGCAAGCCCTAAATCTAGGAGTACTGGCTGAGTGCAGCACCGAGGTACGCAAGTTCCAGACAGAGACCCGAAGTGTCTCTAAGGGCTTCTAGTGCAGTTAATTGTTATTCAGAGGAGAACTAGGACACTGGAGTAAAGAAGGTACCTCAAGTTCCCTTCCTTTTTTTTAAGCAGACCTGACCCAGGTCTGAAACATACCCAATGAGCTGCCGCATTTATCAAACTACACACAGATAAGATGTGTGCACAAGGCGAAGGAAAAATGTTTATATCACAGATAATAAAATAGGTTTGTTCAGTGAATGTGCTGCATTATCTAACCTGAAGCATAAACCCTTAACATTTTGTGTTTATTTACAGCTGCACTTTTGAAAAATATGGTATTAATTATTATATTAATAGTGTCCTGCTCACCTTCAGTGTAGTCACAGGCCTGTGTGAGAGCGTGACAGTGAGCCAGCATGGCTGAATGGGACACTGTGATCCCCATGGTGCTTCCTTCCTTGCTAGTTTTATACTGGATGCAAGAAATATGTAAAAAAAAAATAGTCAATTTCTGTCCAAAAAAGAATGATGAATTATAAGGAAAAAGAAAGAATGAAAAATACATTAAATATACATGAAAATGTACTAAATCTATCTTTGTTTACTGGTAACATTACTGAAACTGCACTTACCTCTATGTAGGCTATGTCGTTACTGGCTTCCCGTATTGGAGGATGCCAGTCTTTTGGAGGCTTCACAACATGTTTTCCATCTGTCACAAACCACAGCAACCGCGGCCAGCCTGTAGAGACGGGGACGAAAT